CCCAGCACCTAAGAGCAGGGATCACGCCGCGGGGTGGTGAGCAGTGATGCAGTCTCGCCTGGCCTTCTGTTACTAGGCTGAAATAGGAAACAAGAGAGAACAAAATGGGCTTTTAAAAACCAGGCAAATATCAGAGAAGGCTGGTGTGCACGCCCCAGCAACCAAACACATTAAATACTGGCTGTTTCTCTACCAGGTGAAAGGTCTCATGGCTACTGAGGTTGACACTGTAATTAAATGAAGCAAAAATCTGATCCTAACCAACCTCAGTAGGGCTTATCTCCTAGCTCACCTGCAACCCAAATGCCTCATGCACATGTCAGCGTATGTGGACAGATGGCAAGTATTTGGGTTAGGATCATGCACATTTAATTATAAGACACTGAAGAACTTTAACTTTGAGCCCAAGTGCTTGCAACTATTGCAAAAAATGGACATTGATCTCAAGGTTCACAAGGCCACCCTCCACTAGAGGAGGGGGCCAGCTTCCTGTGGCACAGCTCTTAAGTTTCGGTTTCATTCCTCTCCTCTGCCCATTCCCAAAAGTCATGTGCTTCCCAGAAACACACCAACCCAGGCTTCCTTTCTGAGAAGAGTGGGGGGAGCCAGCTCAGAGCCAGGGCACCAAGACAGAGCAGGGGCGGCAGGCACTCACTTGGACAAGGCGAAAAGGGAAGCAAGATGGCCACACACCCACGCTCAGTTTCCACGGGGACAGAGGACAGGCCCTCTGGTAGTTTCACAGACAGTAGGAAAACTCAGGTCAGACGGGGACCAGGCACTTTAAAATCCACTGCGCCAGGGCAGCAGTAGGCTTGCGCTGAGGCAGGCGGCATTACTTACTAGACGTTCCACTGACTTTCTAATGCTTTTTCCAGAGCCGCAGGTTTTGTGGTCTCCTCACAGCAGCCTATTAATTCATCTGTTTGCCACAGATCAAACCAGAGACCGAAAAGCACAGCATGGACCCTAGAAAATGCTTAATAGCTGAGGAGCTAAGGTTACAAATAAAAACTGGTTACTATCACAGATGATCTTATTTTTGGGTGATCTTTTCTTGGGCAGTCTATGGCTACCACTATCATGAAATAAAGAGGTAAAAGATTGGATCTGGGAGGGGAGGGTTTGGGTTTAAAAAGGATATATCTGATTTGAATTTTATGTTTTGGAAAGATTGGGTTTGAATAAATTTTGACCAAAATGAATCCAAGAATAGATCACCCCAAATCACTATTTTTTTTTTACACTTAGAAACAAAAGCAAACATTAAAATGAAAGCAATCAACCCCTTCCTGGTCTGTTTGGGGAAGTGAGTTTGGCTCCCACATACCTAGCCCACCCTCGATGTTCAGAAGACAATCTGAATCCAGAGGATTTTTACTTGCTTCAATTCTTTGGTGATAATTCAAACCTCAAATGATTTTTACTTTATAAAATCACTATGACACAGATTACAAAAAATATTCCAAGCTATCCTGCTGTGATACTAGCTACCAGCAATTTGTGGAATCTGTAACAAAAATGTCTTTTTCTTCCATTTAGGGGTGAAAAAATTAATGATCCCTGTCTACACACTGACTCATGTGGCTTTTCACTGTAAACTGAAAAAATAAAATTCTCTGCCAACAATCTGTGTCAGGAACTGTGACCCTGCCTGATTTCATGTGACCTTAGACTTTTTTTTAATTAGCTGCTGAGGCTGAGACAAGTACTATGAGGCTTTGGAAATGGGGTGTCTAACAGATACCAGGGATAGTTTATTTTGGTCAAAAAGTAAACTAAGAGTGTGGTTGAAAAAAGTAAACAGCTGGCAAGAGCTGGACATGCTGGCGCGTGCCTACCATCCCAGCACCCGGAGGCCAAGACAGGAGGACTGCTGTGAGTTTGACGCCAGCCTAGATTATACAGTAAATTCAAACTCGGCCTGAATTAATAGTGAAACCAAGCCCCTGTCTCAAAAAACAAAAATAAAAACAAACAAACAAATATAACAGTTGGTAAAGCAACCCAGCCCTGAACTTAGAAAGCAGGAGAGTGAACACCAGCTTTTCCACACAGACCCCCACACACACAGATGGGATGAGAGGTGCACACACACCCAGGATGCACCCAGCAAATACGTTTTAATCAGTACATCATAGGATATTCTCGCTAGCTGGAGGAAGGGAGCGCCTGCCTGTCCTACCATTCCCAGCCATCCCCTTCACAGGGAACCCAACATCAGATAAACATAACCAAGTCTTTACATGTGGCTTTGGAGAAGGCTGCTAGGATGCTTGCAAACACAACATCAGGGGTCTGGGAGGCATCGACGGCAGAGTGGATTCCTCGTTTCCTGTAGTAGTCCACAAGCGGGGTAGTCTGAGTGTGATAGGCTTCCAGGCGGATTTTCAAGGCTTTCTCATTATCATCGGATCGACGGATCAAGGGCTCCCCTGTGATCTGAGAAAAAGGAGAATGAAAAGCTGGAACTGTCTGTAAGGTTTCATTACTTAGGTGGACGCAGGCTGAGGCGGAAATTCTCTACCTAGGTAGGTTGCTGTTTGATTCCACAGTCCATCAGGGGCAAAAAGAGAAAATCTAGACACAGTCAAGAACTTGGCTGCGTTTAGAAGCAGACTTGCTATTCCAGAGAAGCCATGGAGACCGTCAGAAATAGCAAGCATATGGAGCTCATGAGAGGAAAACTGGCAGTGCCTTTCTCTCACACCTCTGTGCTCAGGATGTTTAGCTTCCAAGACGAACACTACTAAGGCCAGAAGCAAGGAAGACAGAAGACCCTGAGACCAAGAGAATATATCAAAATCAGAGATACATTAGCAACTGTAATTTTTTTGTTTAAACAAAAGATCTTGCTATGTAGCCTGGGCTAGACTTAGGCTAAAGATCCTCCTGCTTCAGCCTCCAAGCAGCTGAGATTACAGTTGGGCACCACCATGCCTGGCACAATAACTGTTATCTTAATCTGGCCTAAACATTTATCATTTTACTGCAGTGTCATCAACCAAGTGGCAAATGGAATGAGAAAGAATCTGAATGGTAGAAATTAATAACTTTTTAAAATGTGACTAAGTTGATATGATGGCTTAGGAATCGGTATTTATAGAATCTGGGTAGCCTGATGATCTTGTCTCATACAACAAAGGTAAACACAGGAAATTCTCCCCATTGCCTCCATGCTCTATAGCGGATCACATGGACTCCTTATAGTACATGGTACAGTGACCTTGTACAGGACTCCAGGGTACAGCATGGAAGCCAGCAGACCTCTCTTCAATTCTTATTTTTTTTTTTAAACATTCTTTCCTTTCTTATTAATTTATTTAGTGTGTGTGTGTGGCCAGCTCAGCTCAGTCCACCAGGGGGCAGGACTGGCTGGCATGTGGTGCTGGGGGATTGAACCGCGGTCCCTGTGCTTTGCTGAGCTTGTTCTAAGTAGGTGCTTTAGACCACTGAGCCATCTCTCCAGCTCCCTCTCTTCAATTCTATTCCCCACTAATTTTGAGCTTTCCAGCAACTTTTTTCCAATTATTTATCACTTAGGTGATGCCAGGTTGCGGCTGTCCTTATAATCTAAACACTGAGAAGGAGCCAACAATAGCAGGTGCTTTGTGATCAAGCAGTGAAATACCCAGGGAGACAATGTACACATCTGTCACAGACCTCCTGGCTTGACAGCGCTATTTTCCATGGTTAAATCAGTTATATTCACAAGAGGGAAGATGGAAAGAACAAAGAACAAAGAAAGAAGACAAGAATGGAGGCAGACGGGCTGGTGAGATGGCTCAGTGGTCTAAAGCACCTACTTAGAATAAGCTTAGCAAAGCACAGGGACCGCAGTTCAATCCCCCAGCACC